CTTTTGCTTAAGAACATAGATTCCCATTTCGATTTTGATTTTGATATGGAGTTTATAGCTAAGTAGCCATTATATTATTCAGGGAAAATGCCCAAAAAAGAAAATGCCCAAAAATAGCTAATTATACTTGGGGAGTGTTTGGTTGTGCATTTTGCATGTCATTTTTTACCACTTAAAGAACCAGAATCGAATTACAGAAACTTCTTAAAATTGTTTTGGTCTTGAATAAATTAATAATCCTATTGCATAATTAGAATCGCATCTAATCAAACACTCATATCAAGTGTATATTACCACTTTAAGTCGCAATAATTAGTTTAAAATGCACATAAAAACATCCCCCTATTAGCTTTTGTCCATTTTCTTGGATCTCTGCCTGCTACAATGTTCTTTTTTGTACAATTCACTCTTTTGAACTACCATTCTCAATTTTTCAAAGTATAAATGAGTCTTTTGACTATTCATAGTCATACAAGTCTATAAAATATACAAAATTGTAGGATTAGAAGCATAACATTAATAGGCATATGATGACAATAGTTATATGTATTAAGAAGTGGGAGTACTAATGATGACACAATCCGTGACTTTTGACTAAAGAAAGCCCCTTTTGTGTAACTTTTACACTATTCTGCATTTTATTTCATAACAGGAAAATCATTTCTTACTTTCTTTGAATTTTTCTATTATTGTGGATTGTTTTCAGCTTGTGCCTCAAATTTTCCAAGATCTGCATCAGACTATGCATTATCTGTACCCAATGGAGGCTATGCAATCACAGCAGATCATTGTGTGGAATGTAGTTGCACAGCAGGAAGCAGGTTATAACTTATATAACTTATAACATATAACATAAACGCTTTCTTTCAAATTTCAATCCCATTGATTATATTGTCTCATTCACATGATCTTGTTTGTTATTTATTTCAGATTATATTGTCAACCAGCTTCATTATCAGTTTCTTGTTCAAGTATGCAATGTAAAAGCAGTAACCTAATGCTTGGAAATGTTACTGTTCAACAAAGTAGTGCTGGATGCAATGTCACTTCTTGTGGTTATGGTGGATTTGTCAATGGAACTATAATCACCACGTATTCTTCTTAACTTTACACTATAATTTGTCTATTAGTATTTCCTCATTTTTACCATTACCCAAAAAAAGAAATGAATAAAGATAATTTTATAATTGCAGGTTGTCGAGTTCTCTTCAACCCCGATGCCCAGGTAAAGTAATCTTGAAATTTAAGAATATGAGATTCCATTAATCATCAAATCTTGTAGCTTTTTGTCATTAATGACTTTTTAACATGTTGTAGGGCCACAGGTGGTGCCGCCAGTAACAGCACCACCTACGGTGGTTAGCCCAGACATGGTATTGGCTCCGGCCCCTTCACCCGGTCAACTCAGTGGGTCACCCATGGCGGGTCTTCCCAGCTCGGTGGTGCCATCAAGTGGGTCAAGTATAGTCCTCCCTCCATCTGCAAATGGTCCAAGTGGGTCAAGTATCAATGGAGCTTGCACCTTGGTCAACCCGTTGACCACTTCCTTCATATCCATTGGTCTGGTTTTGTTTCTCAAGGTGGTGAAGGTCGTTCCATTCTTGTAATATTTTGGGTGATATGATCTTTAAACAATGTGTTATTGTTGTTGTATATTTAAGCTTGATTTATGCCCGAAAAAAAAAATGTGTACTTTTTACACGGGATTCGGCTAATTTTGTGGTATGAGATTAGGTGGTTTTTGGAACTTGACATTTGATGAAATGAATCTTGATGATTTGGGGACGTTGTATTTGTCTTTTGCTGTGTGGTTATATTCGATTTGAAATTTTTTTTTGTTTGATGTTTTTTTTTTTGGTTTTATTTATCCTTTTGGTAGCTGATGTCTTGATTCTTGAGAGTCGAAATGCGTTGTAGCTGGCTTGTTTTGGATTCTAGTGCTGTAATTGAGTTGTTTGCAGGTGTTCAGATAGACAGACGCACATGTTTTAGCTTAGTGGGACCCACCGATGTATCTCGTGTAGTCATCAATCATCATGGGTGTTTCTTGAAATTAGGCAAAAAGCAAGTGTGTGTGATTACGTTGAAAATATTGATACTCGATTTGATCAATTGAGAAGAATTTGAGAGGGCCAAGAGCTTGAAGCCATCAATTGTGTATTGAATTGAAGAAAAAGAATGTAAAGAGAATTAGAAGTAAATACAAAAAAGAAAACTAATTGCGATGTATGCAAAATAACACTAAAGTATATAGAATTACCAAAACATATATTATGAATGCCTAAGTGGGGAAGGAATGATCCAACTTGAGTTTGAAAAAATAACACTAAAGTATATAGAGTTATCTAAATATATATTATGAATCCCTAAGTGGTGAAGGAATGATACACCTTGAGTGTGAAAATAAAGGTACCGGAAAGGACTAGGCAAATATGTCTTTGTGGAGATATTCATAGCTTGATCGATCGTAGAGATCGTGAGAAAGCCGACATTTTTATGGCATGTAGACGAACAAAATGTCATTCGGCCTCAATATGTTTTGTAAGCTTGTGGAAAACATAATTATGGACAATTGGAATAATAGTGTTGTTGTCACACTACATTGAGGTAACTACCATGTTAGTCAAAAGTCAATGTAACCATTTTTTGTAGTTATATTGGTTAGACCTCCATATTCAACTTCACTACTCAAGTGAGCCATCAAGGATTGATTCTTATTCTTCCCAAATATAAGTGAATCACCAAAAAAAGAAACAATACACAATAGTAGTCCGTTTGACATTCAGGTCAGGTCACCATCTCTGTAGGTATTTGAGAAGACTATTAGAATCGAAGAAGATTCAAACAAAAATATGAAGCCCATGAAACATGGTACCCTTTGAGGTATCAGTGGATCTAAAGGACATCAGCATAATGATAAAATAAGGAGCAATTATAAACCGACTAACCTTGTGAACCGAATAGGTAAGGATAAGGTGTGTAATTGTGAGGTAAATCAAACAAACAACCAATTGCTTTGTATGTAGTACGTCACTAATAGGAGAACCACTTCCAAGGACCAATTAAGTATTCGACTCAAGTGGTGTGAAAGTTGCTTCTATAAGGCTCGATCGAGAAAATAGATCTAATATGTATTTGGCTTAACAGAGGTATACTCATGATAAGTTCGAAAGTATTTCAAAACCAATAAAATAAATAAGTTTGACAAGACACTTTATCAAGCAAGAACCGAGAAATAATTTACCTTTACGATACAAACAATATCACTCCAAGCAATGATCATATAACATATAGTAATAGTAGAACGGTAACTACATATGTGATATATGTGAAACGTTCAGAATCGTAGTGGCTCAATTAAAAGTTGAATTATAGATTAATGGTGTTGAATTATTTGCATCAAACCCTTAGAACCTATTTAAAACCATAAAATGCTTTTTGAAGTTTCAAACATACCTTTGAGGGTGATCAATTCTACTTAGAGGCTACATGTATAATTCTTCACCAATATTGGCATTGAGAAATGTATCCTTAACATCCATTTGACAAAGCGGCCAAATACATGTAGTAGCAAACACAAACAGACTACGAATGGAGGTCGGCCACATGTGCAAACTTCACCTCATATTAATATTGTATTTTTTTTACAGAACCTTTGGAAACAAGTCGAGATTTATATCTCTCGGTTGATGGTTGTACCATCAGATATGATATTTACTCTATCCACTCTGTCGAAAATCAATAAAGTGATTTCTCTAGAGGTAGAGAACAAGATCCCAAGTTTAGGATTTTCGTAAAACTTGAAGTTCTTTATTTATAATCCTCTACTATGGTGGGTTAAATAAGGCATCCTTGTAGGAAGTAGGTTCATGATAAGACAAAAAATTAGTGTAAAAAATGATAATCATGAACTCAAGAGGGAATTTTTATGGGTTTCGCACCGAATAGTAGACTAATAAAATGCAGAGGAATAACAATTGATAACTGAAATTGTTGGTAAGGATTTAGAAAGATTCCACAAACTAGAATTTGATTTTGTACAACTACGAAGTTACCGATAAATATAAAAAAACATACCTTAAGGGTTATCAAAACAGATCCTAGAAAAACACTCTTTCCAAAATCTCCCTTAGTTAGCACTTTGTGATGAATAGTACCAAAAACTTAACCTACAAACATAATATGGTATATCAATACTTTTAGTATTACCATGAGATCATATAACTTATTTGTAGGGGGTGTTTGGCATTGCTTATTAGCTTATAACTTATTAACTTATTAGCTTATAAGTTAATAAGTAAGTGTAGGGTAACTTATGTAAAAAATGACTTATTAGAGGTTCCGTACCGGAATAAGTTACTTTCATTCAAACACTTTTTTAACTTATAGTGGTGTGGAACCTAATAAGTTGTTTTGAAAAGCTTAGCCAAACAACCCCGTAGTACAAGGATTATAAAAAGAACATCATATTATATACTATACAACAACATATGTATGAATGGATGCAAAATTATGTTCAAACAACTTACAATCAAACCATAGCCACTAAATTTAATCCAAGTTTGCAAAGGTTAATGGAGTCAAACAAAAAGATCAAAATCAAATTTAACGAAATCATTAGACATCATGTTAGCTTCATTAGGCATCTTGTCGGTAGAAATACACATCATATGTGATTTAGCAAGGTACAATGATACAAAAATAAATGCAATTCAATGTTATCACAACCACATGCCAAACACATGTGTGTTGGCCTTTTCCCATAGCCAAATTCTTAAAAAAAAATCAACATGTTAAGGGTTTTATTTTACTTTTTTCAAATTAAAACTATACATAGTTGCTAAAAAAAAATCAATGGTTAATTGTATTTGTATTTGTATCAATAAATTGGGATTATTGATGAATGAATATCCCTTATTTTGATTCTTTTGCCGGCCTGGCCCAACCCAAAAGTCAACACGGGTTTCAACTTTGATGACTAAATAAAGCAAGCTCCTTCCATGAAGGTTCTAGAGACCCACAAAGAAGCTGGTAAAAGAGAAATTCAAAATCAAGACTGCTTTTGTTTTGTTTATAAAGGCAAGGCGTCTGATCCAATCTTGTATTTTCTTCCATACGGTTCGTTACAGGTATGTGCGTATTTGATCATGTCTTTTTCAATTTCATTATCTTTTGTGTTTTCCCCCTCTTCTTAATGGAATTAATGCCTAGGGTTTGGTAATTTATTCAAGCGATTTGTTGGTTCTTTGTTTCTGTTGGAGGATCGTTGACTATTTACTATCTTTTGTCAATCGAACGTGGAAATTGTTGTTTTCTTGGTTCTAGGGTTTTTCTGGAAGTATTTGTTAATGAATCGAAATTTAGGGATTTGAAATTATGACAAAATTTACTTGCTTTTTCCGGAATCTAAATGGTATCTGATTTGAAGCTCTTATATGTATCTATGGTTTCGTTTTGGCACTCCATCTGTTTCAAGAGTAGAATTCAAATTTCACCGTTGACGCCTAGTATTTCAACAAAACTAGGGTTTTATTAGATGTATCTGTTGAAGAATCGGGTTTTAGGTATTTGAATATTCTTCGAGATTACAAAATTTTCTCCCTTTCCCGGATCTAAAAGGATCTTAATTAGAACGTGTTATCTGCGCTTAGAGTTTCAAATAAAGTTTGTGTTTTCGCTGATGGGGGGTTCCATTGTACGTCAAGAAAACTAGGGTTTTATTCGATCCTTTGTTGATGAACTGGGTTTTATGAATTAGAATCCAAAAGATTACGAGAATTGAGATTTCGTTTGATTTTTTGAAATCTGAATCAAATTACTTCGAACCTAAATATAATTTTTTTTCTTTTGTTCTTACAGATTCTTTCATAAGATTGGAGGATATTTGGGATTTTGGGTTCTGAAGCAATTCTTCAAACTTTGGCCAATTAGCTACTCAAATAAGGTAAGAGACCCCAAACTAATTCTTGAATTCTCCATTGAAGAACTTTTCATATTCTTGAAGTTGACTAGCTTTCTATTCTTATCATCAACTATTTCAAGATTTGAATTTTTATGATAGAGTAACTAACACTGTGTCATTCTCTCTTCGAGATGCACTTCCGGCCATCATCATACCATAATGCAGATTTTGATCTTGTTTTTACATCCGAATGGACTGCAAGACATTCATCCAGTTGGTTGAAGAGAAAAAGCAGCGAGTTTTGGCCAAAAAAGAAGCCCCTTTGAAATGGCAGCAGAAGCTGGAAGCTGCCATTGAAGCAAACGAAAAAAAATCGAAGATTTCAAAGCATAAAAGAAGATCATCTGAAACTGATGGTGACACTGAAAGTGATGATGTCAGAAAGTCAAGAAGAAAGAGTCAACACAAGAAACATAAGAGAGATAAGAAAGATAAGAGATCAAAACGAAAACTTAAAAGGAGATCTTCTAGCTCGAGTGATGAAAGTGAAAGTGAATCTGAAAGTGAAATAGAGGAAAGAAGGAAGAGAAGGCACTCGAAACATCATCATCAATATCATCATCATCACCATCATCATGATAATAAAAGACATAGGCGAATGGAATCTAGTGATTCGGATTCTTCTAGCTTTGATGATGATGATGTTAAAAGACATGAAAGGAAGCACCATAAGCATCATCATCATAGGAGATCAAATAGCCGTGAATTGAAGTCATCTGATGATAACAAGGATCATCATCATCATCATGGTCATCATCATAGGAGATCACATAGCCGTGAATTGAAGTCATCTGATGATAACAAGGATCCTCATGGCCATGATTGTAAAGATGATTTGAATGAAGGATATGATGGGAATAACAAGCACAGGAATGGAATTGAGGTGAATGGAGGGAATCTGAATGCTGAAACTGAAAGTGATGGAATTGAAGAGGGACAAATTGTGTAGGTTTTGTTTAGGGGCATTATTTGAAATGAACATGTTGTGTTTGGATGCTTTTTAGTTTTTATTCTATTCCTCTAACTCAAAACTCTTGACTGCAGTTCGATTTGTGTTCTTAAATGTGGACTTGTTGACTGAATTCATATGCATTTCTTTCATTATTTCTGATTATAAAAATATTCTACTGGTAGTTGAGCAATCTCATATTAAACTTTGGACTAAAATGCACAAATGGTCCTATGTCGAAAATTGCCACTTTGGTCCAAAAAGTTTTGGACTAACATCAGTGGTCCAAAACTTTCATTTTGTTGCGTCTTTTGTCCAATCTGTTATGATTATTTTCAAAATGATAGATTTGTCCCTGTTGATATGATTTTCTCTTTTTTATTATTTGTTTTTCTGATTTAAAAAAAAACAAGAAAATAAAAATAAAAATAAATCTCTCTCTAAAACAACAAAATAAAATCTCTCTCTCTCTCTCTCTCCGAAATCCATTCCCCTCTACTTTGTACCTTATTTCTTTTTCCCCACCAAAGAAACCTCCACCATAAACCACCGACCGCTGCCAGTGGCAGACCATCCTCACCAATTTCAGCATCATCAGGCACAACCCACAACTTCATCCTCTCCGATCATATTACATCCGAGGAGATGAGTGTGTCTCGCATCCATCTTAACCACTATTCAGGAGACTAAATTCACTCACATTCATCACCATACTAGCCACCAGAAACCACCACCTGGTCGGAGAAAGGAAACGGGGGAGTAGAGG